CATCACAAGTATACTGGGGATAATTTTAACCAACCCTATTATGATTGCAAACACATTAGGGCTAAATAGGCAAATTTGCAAAACTTGGCCCTAACCCATTGTGCGTGTGACTGTTTCTATTTGTCTACTTTTAACTATGCAATTTTTGGAGCATCTGAGTAAACTGCCTTAAACAAGGTAAAATAAGACTTTGTATAAAATAAATGAGCAAAGTCAGTGTGTCTGAAAAGCAGGTCAAGTGCCATATTCAAATACTAGTAAATCTATGATATTTTGGCAATAATTTGAATTTACCACTGGGCCAGTGAGGTTTTCCAGAATTCATGAAACCCAGCAGGTAAAGAAAAGCAGAAGCAATTGAGTCCACTGGATAAGTGTCCCTTTACGGTACTGTTCGTAGGACCAGGAGGAGCAGTAATGTGTTCGCCTTCTCTCCCAGCAACTCAACTGAGTCTTCAGCTACAATAAGCCAACTCTAATCTCTTCCAGTTTTCTTCCTTCCTCATTTGCTGGACAAAATATCCATCCCCACTGTCCCTCAGCAACCTGAGATGTCTCCAGATGCTTGGAAGTCAATTCCAATGGTCGTTGGCTGTGGCTTTGTACCACTGGAGCGCTTGACTTTTAACTGGCTAGATTGTCAGTCTGGTTAGCTGTCAGATGGGAAACAGGATAGCAAAATAACGACGACATCCTGCCATTAAATTTGGCATGTACCCATTGTTTCGAACTGTCACCTGAAGGCACTTATTTTGCAGCTGTATTTTGTTACCTGACAGAATAGTATAGTGAGCCGGATAAACGTTACAACACTGCTTATTGTGTTTATTGTGGAAGTAAGGATATATGTGATCCAAATCTCGTGGCTCAGAAAATTGAACTATGTTGTGCCGTGAATGAAGTTACTGCCTGAATTGGAAAGCCTGCATGATGAGACTGACCCCGACCTTTTTGAAAGGAATTTATGAACATGGAAATAGTTGTCTCATACTGAGGTCGAAGGGAGTACTCCGTATGTGATTAAAATTAATGGGAAGGTCCAGTCAGGTGAATGTTCTGTTTGTGAACTAAATATAAAAAGTTCTGAATTTCTCTTTTCGTTTTGTTCCTGTAAATATGCTCAGTGTATTACAATGAAATAACAAAAGGCCTGTAACTGAAACATATTTGGTACTTTTTAAGGTCCTTTAGAAGATAGGAAGAATAGGTATAAGCACAATGTGACATACATGTTCTGTGTCTGAATAGCATTAGACAACTAGAAGTGTTGAGCATTTGAATAAATTTTATGGTCCGGGTAGAGCAGCAAATGTTATATCGCTGGGAAATATCTTCTCCTCTAGCACAATCAATTTCAATCAAAAAATTGCAGCAGCATATTTTCTTTAGGCATGAAGTTGAATGACAGAGTAGGGGGTGACCAGGCTTTAAGTATTTTTCCTCCATTGATCAAAGTAGATTTTTAGTTTGTACACTAGTGAATTGGTGGCACATTTTACATCTTTTCCCATTCTTATTTCAATGCATGTTCCCCGTAGGTAGGAAATGGGATACAATATTGAGCCTTCCTTTGAACGTAGATATTTTCAAAAGAGATTTCCCTCTTTGTGTGCCTGGGTGGAGCCTCAATGCCTGGTAGCTGTCTAACAAAGTTTGTTTCACTTTGTGAAGCTGTACAAAACAGTTTTCTCTCCTCAGACAGTGACTCATAGTGAGGCGTACTCCTTTGCACCTACAGCCCTCTGTTAATGCCAAGAGTGCCCCCCACCACTACTAGCACCAACTCCCTTTTTCTTTTCAGCCTAATGATTGCCCTATGTGTTGGAACATAACAAGCACATCTGTCCTTGTCTCAACCTGATGTTCATACCGCATTTGGGGTAAACTTTCCTTTTCAGCAACGATGGAATGGGCAGTGGAAATAGACTGAAGTTGATCCATTTTCTGCCATACTGGACGTGACTCTCCACCTCACCATTTGCAGATGGGATCACTGGAGGTTGGGAGTGGAAATCTTAATGGAGTTTCTGCCCTTTAATATGAGGCTATAAAGGTTACTGTTTTCACTTGTATTTGTTAACATAGTATAAGCAAGGGTTTGAAGCCTTTGTTTACCAAGTCAGTTTGGCTGTTTGGGAATGCTTTGCTTTGATTTGTAAAAATAAAAGATGCACATTTCATTTTGCGCACACTCCATGAAACATCATTGCAATCTGTCAAGGCCATCCGTTGTGTTTCTGGTCTGATAAACCTCCCTTCACTTTGGAATGGGGATGGTTGTGCTTGTGTATGGTGAAGTATTAAATAACTATTAAATTGCCCTGTGGATACATTAGGTTTCCCTTTTCAGCATTGTGGCATGGACCATTATGTTTCCTTTAGCTAATGGTGGCAATTGAGATTTATCTCCTTGTCCTTTACTGCCCAGGCTAGCCGTGAAGGTTCATCAGAGGTGAGTGCTGCTTTATTGTTGGAATTGGCTGATGACCAAGTTCTTTCTCAGAGAGAGGTCACCAACCTCAGAAGCCTCAACACAAGATAACCCTTGCCTTGATTTCTGAGAATACGTCTTAAAAATTCGCTTAAAATATTTAATTATGAGTCTACTGTATGCAAGCAAGCAATGTGCAGAAACCAAGCCCAAATTTTCTGGTTCTGGATAGTTGGAGACTGGATGTATCAGGCAAAATGTGCCTCAGGACCCTGTGGTAGCTCTGATGCTCTGACTTTGTTGGAATTGCCCAAGCCATTTAAACTTCTGATGGGCAATTCCCCTGCACTTCTTCCACTCTGAAGAAGTCTTCGACTCTGAACTACAGTCAGAGACATCGGAGCATTCTGATTTACCTAAATGGTAATGCAGCAAATGTTTGCCAGATTAAAGCAATGTGGAAATCCTGGGTAATTGAACATATGGCCACCCTCCGTCACCCACACACCCACCCACCACCACCACCTCCACCACGTCCACCACCCCTACCCCCCCACCCCACACAGTCACGACTCCCCCATTGACCTTTTGAATAATTCTTCTGACCTCACAGACAACTCCCAAACCAACCTGACCAGAACCCACGGTCCGAGCAACCCTCCCCCACTCCGATTCAACTAAACTCCACCTCCTTGCCTGACCAATACTCATCCCTGACCTACCTACCCACTCACTTAGCTGCCATCCTACTTGTACCTTATCCGCTCTATCCCCTTACATGAACCAAATTCATTCAGTAAGACACTGGAAAGCAATTTGAATGTCTCAAAGCTTTTCACCTTGGGAATGACCATTTACCAGCATATGGCAGCCTGTGCTTTGTCTTACTCTGATGATCCAATGCTACAAGAAAGGAATTTGATTTAAGCTAGTTTGCTGCATTTCTCAACATTGCATGTCCGAGCGAGAAATGTAATGTACTGTCTAGTTGGAAAGAAATAGGAACAGATGTGGCAATTTGCTGGGGATTGTCACTCCCAGAATATTCAAGCCCTAGTGTTTGCGACTGCCTTGAAGCTGTGCAAATGTTTGCTGTAGCCAGCATGACGCTCCAATAGGCGAAAGCAGCACCCCCGAGTTAGCTGAGCCTAGTTACAGTTCCTATTCTCCGTTCCTTTCTATGGCTGCTTCTGAAAGCGTCTGTTTGATTAACAAAGATCAAGGGTTGGTTTGGGAAGGTGATTATAAGGTTATGTGTGTGTGTTTGGAGAACAGGATTGGGTTTGTCACTAAATAGGCTGCTGACATTCACTATCAAAGCTCATATGTGAATGACGAATGTATGATAAAGATGCTGGAGGATTGCCAATACGAATTCTGAACAAACCACCAACTTTATATGGTCTGGTTAGGGACAAGACCTTTTACTTTTAAACTAGACAAAAGGTAAGACTTACTAGGAGAAAAAAGCCACAAGATTCCACAGTTTTGAACAAGCATGAGGACTTTACTCTACAAGTTAGAACAGTAATACAATCCACAATACATGTACAACTTATTCCTAGCACCCAGAATTAATATGTGATTATATATTGTGATTGAATAATCCACAGCACACATCACATAACAATTGTGATCATGACAGATCCCAAGGACACCTCAGTTACTCTCCTCAGGTGTAAATAATGCAGTGGTTCATCAAATTTCATTAAAATTCACATGATTTCTATTCTTCCCTCTTGATGATCTGGCCTTGAAACTCCTCCCTAAGTGTCTGCTTTGTCACGGTCTACCTTAGCGACTGCTCCTGTTCTAGTTGGTTACCCATCTGTCCTGGTTCATCTTCGGCAGTGTTCCAAAATCTGTAATCCAACTGGCAAAACTCCAGCTTTCATGGATAGCATGCTTCACCAAGCAACACCGCTACTGAATTTTTATTTCCTTGAACTTCAAATTTGCTCAGTTGCATCAAGCAAATGCTGTTTGTGGAGGCCTTTCACTCCGACTCTCAGATATACTGAACCATTAATTGTGCACAGGCATCTTTCAAGTCATTAGTATTTGTTAGGACTTCCCTGGGCCCTCATTACCCAGAACTGTTCAATTGCTGTAGGATTTCCTAGAGTCCTCACTATACAAAGCCTGTGTAGTTCAGCAGCACCCTTAATAGCTCTGCCTACCATCAAGGTTCTGTCTTGTCTTTCCATTTCCAACTCACTGTGATCCCAGAATGCTGTTCAGTAACTTATAAGCCATCCTGTGTTACCTGCTGGAAACTTCACAATTAGTTCCACCCCTATTTTGAGGCAGAATTGCATGTAATTGATTTTGGATCAGCCAAATGTTGCATACCTTTAGTGTTTTCTGTACCCCTAAGTGTCTCCACTGCTTGCTCAGTGCAAGCAAGAGATATATTTGGAGGATTTTGCAGCAAAAACATCCATCAGTGTGAACCACTGCCTTCAGGAGAAGAGAAGGGAAATGTTGTCGGAGACAAATAGTAACTGATGTTGTGTTCTGAAGTGCTTTATCAGACTGATGCTTGTTTTCTCAATATTATTTCTCACAGTGAAGAAATCCCTGGGGATGCTTGATGTGAACAGTGGAGCCTTGTCGAGAGCAAACAGCTATGCCGATGATCTTGATCTCATCGAGGGAGAGCCGGTACTGGCTCCTGTCACACACGTTTCTCAGTAAGTGGGAGTGCTCAGTTGCTGAATTGATGCTGCTGTGGTTCTGGGGCGTGACTTCAGGCACTGGCTCAATAACTGGTCTGGAGTCTGTTCCAAATTACAGACATAGACCCAGAGTGTTTTAAATGGTGCATCTGTTTTACACCATAAAAGCCCCAGGAACGTTCAGGCAGGATGGTTCAGACAGTCTGGTATTAAAATACATTGTTGAGATTGTTAATAACTTTATTTTCATAAATTATGGGTGGATTCAATTTCCTCAACAATTTTTAAGTATCACAAAAACCGTTGGCTTGGAATCAACATGGACCTTGTGAAATAACATTAACCAAAGAGAAACACAGGCTGATTGCTTACATGCTTGCAAGTAAAATATTCTGAAATGCAAGAGATTGCTGTGCGTTATGGGATGAGCAAAAATATGATGGGAACATTGCATAATAAATCTCATGGTGGATTCTTCTTGATTCTGCCCCTACCGCTGCCCCCAACCCACCACATGACTTGACAAGGCATAATGACTGAAGTAAAATTGGGTGGAGAGATGCACACACCCTCAAGGAAGTCTGGCCAACTTTCTGTCCTCCTTGGTTTGAAATTCAAGTGCATTTACTCATGACTGTGTGCCTCTCCCCACCCGATTTCCTTACACTGGCTACTGTTTGGCAAATCAGTGGGCACGGGACCAGGAAAATCTACCCCTTCAAATATCAAAGTTCTTACTAATCAGTTGAGATACATAGGGAGTCACTTTAACCTTAACCCACCCAGTGGGGAGTTGACTGGATTGGATCAGACGCCCCTTTCATATCGCAGCTGATTTTACATTTCATTGACTTTGATGAAAAGTAATATTGAGGAGAATGTAAAACAGGCATCTGGTGTGACCCGGTCAAATTCTCACCCCATAGCCAGATTAAAATTTACCCTCCCCTCCCCCCACCCCTCAGAGCGTTATCAAGCTTGATCGGATGTAATGCTATCTTGTTGCTTTTTTTTGTTTGTTAATTATTAATAACCATGGCCATTCTTGTTGAGTAGTTTGTGGTTTCTGTGGATTTAAATCCTCAAGTATCACACTGGGTGTGAGCTGCTCAATTAACCACAAAGTTGAAGCCGTCAGTGCAGATGGAAAGCTCAGTCGGTGGTGGCTGGAACATAAGTTTATGCCTATGAGTGTGTTATAGAGGAACTTGAACTATTATGGTTTGTTTGAAAACAACGTAATGTTTGCACATTAAAACAATCCCCTGAGGATCGCTTGGGCCTCAATGTAGTGGCTTGGAAAAATTCAGTTGGAAACATTGCATCTGGTGAGATACAATTGCATCTCCTTCATCTTTGTTCCAAGTAACAACATGACCGATATATGGATTGTAAACTTTTTTTTAATAGCTTTCTACTAAATATAATTTTGAGAATGAGTGTTTCATTCAAATCAAGAATTTACATAAAAGTAGGAAACTATTACTGTGCTGTTCCTTGTTGTCAGCTCTGGTTGTCCCTGTTGTGGCCTTATTTCCAGGTGATAAGGACCTTTAGTCTGACAGATTTGTTTTCCTTGAATCAGCTACTCCGCAGTGATGGTTTTCTCAAGGGGGAAAATTGGAATGTAGCTGAGCTTTCTCCCTGAATTTCAACTTCGTAGAGAAGCTAATCGATTCCAGGAACAAGAGATTTGCTCATGTATTGAGTTCCCAAACATTCTGCTTTTGTATTAAAAGGTAACAGAATGTTGCAAATGACATGGAACCTAGTATCATATTCAAATTGGATTACTTTATTAATGCACTTGCCTGACTTCAAAGGAGGGATAAAGAGTCTCCTGTAACCTGTAACCTTATCCGGCGAATTGGAGAAAAGGTTAGGGCATTCAAACAAAGTTCTAAATTAACTGTTCTAAGACAGCAGAATAAGGTCACCAGAGACCTATGTTTAAGTGATGCATTGGATACAAAAGTCTGTTACAGGTAGTTCTGCTATAACACGTGTTTCGTTAACACAAATTGGCTGTAATGCAATTGATGAACAGCGGACGTTGCTTGGATAACATGAACTTTCAGCTGTTCAGGTGTAGTGATTTTCTGTACTGATTTCCCTTTAACACGATTTTCTATAGCGCAAGGTCACTCAAGAACGCATCATTCGCGTTATCGGAGAACTACCTGTATTTAGAGTACCACAAGCCAATATAGCATTTCAGCTTTCTGATGGTCATTTAGTTGAACATATAAATTTTTCCAATACACCTATGGCAGATGGGAAGAGTGGGAGAGTTTCCTGGTTGCATAGAACCCTTGATAGCTGCAGTACAACAATCTCCCCAGGTTTCAAAATGGCATGCACTGTTGTTTGCTGTCATCTCTATTTTCTAAGTTTGTAGGTCCTTTAGGGGATTATGTGGCCTAGTTTGTATAAGGGTAGTCACTTTCCACTCTAATGAGAAGAGTGTTATAAATGAGGTGTAGTTTATTCCAACTGTGCAATAATTTACAGATAGTAGGATAGGCCGTACATTACCGCCAAACTGTGTCTGGAGAACCTAGCCTTAGGTCTGTCTTTCATTAGATCCTATGTTACTCTCCCATCATATCTTCATGATACAGCTACGGGAGAAAATATCATCATTTGGGCCAGTTGGCTGTCTCCTCTGTTATAATTTCTATAATTCTGTGAAAGCTTTCCCTTATCAAGTCTAAATTTGGAGAGAGATTCGGAAATGTTGATGCTAAGCTGAGTATTGAACTTTGAGAATTGGTCCGACCACAGAGCCCACTGTTCAGGCTGAAGTCTCTCTGCTTGGTTCGAGTGGGACTGTGCCTTTGGGTTTTCCTCTGTAAAATTCAAGGAATAATCAGCTCTATAGAAGAGCTCAATAGAATTACGATCAGCTCTGTTTGAGGTTGTCTGTTCAGATTTGTCACCTTCGCATGGAACCAGAGTCCAAGGAGTTAGTGGAAGAAATTGAGTCTATTAAAAATAGCATGGAGCAAGCCTCGCCACATAGTGCAGGGGTTTTGGTCTCAGAGTGAATGTCAACAAGTTATAGGATTTACGTGTAGGAACAGAATAACTATTACTAATAGTTAAATAGACTTGATTTTTATTGTCATTTACAAAGGAAATGCGTGGTTTTCCAGTTTGAGTTGTTAGAGTGCAATTTTATGGAGTTACCATTGGCTACAGTGGACTCAAAGTTCTTCTCATTTTGGCTTCCCCTTTGCAAATTGCTCCTCTATCATTGAATATTCCACCCTTGGTCTTTTGATTTCCTACCTTCAGTCCATGCTCCTTACCTGCTCAGTGCTCGCCTCCCAGTTCTTCGAATTCTGTACACAGCAGCTGCTGATGAGAAGCCATGAACTTAAAACACTTAACTACAGGAGGACTGCACCTTTATAAGGTTCAACCTTTATAAAATCAAGTGACATTGCCACCACATTTCTATGCCCTGTTTGGTGGCAGGGAAGTGGATGGCAGCAAGGCACTGCCCCTCGTGGGAAAGGAAACTTGCTCAGTAACAGTGCTGTCCCACCCAATTTAAATGTCTTTGATGTATATCTGAATCCATCCTGCACCCACCCAGTAAAACGAATCAATGGGAAAAAACAGAGACACATCCCTTCTTTTTTTAAAAAAATCCCAAAACATGAGAAGAAAACGATTAAGAGAAAAGTAACATTTCCCAAAGGGCTTACGTCAGTATTTATAACTTCAAACTGATGCATTCAAAATTAAAAATAAACTATGACATAGAAGCAGTTTGAATGCAACTTTTAACTCGCAATTATGTTTCATGATATTTTCCATGTTTGGAGACTAATGTGGTGGAATGTTAAAGTGGCATGTTGAATATTGCCTGTTCCTAGAAGAATGCAGTTGGTTTTGACAATATTTGCGTGATGGTTTTGCGATGCAAGGTTCACGCGTGCATATTATCAGACGCGCATACATTTTCAATATATGAATGTTCAAGATGAAAATTCCAAAGGGCAAAACAAAAGTGTTCAACTTTTTAATTTAATGGAATTTAAAGCTTTTCATTGGAGACAAATGTACTTGGCATGCGATCAGGCAACTTACGAGTGAACAAAAGAATTCTTCACTCAGTAAGTTGACATTCCTCATCAGGAAATCTGCACCCCTTGCTTCAGAGGGGAAGAGAATCATGCTCATACTCATCTATTTTGGCTTCAAAGAATCTTCAAAGGGTTTGTTTAAAAGATGTCTAATTTTGAACAGTTGGATGCAATTTATTGATAATGAAAGCAGATGACATCATGTCCATGACATTGTGTTCAGTTCTAATTGACAAGTGGGTGCTAAGAACGCATGAGAGTTCTAACTAAGCTTATATAGCAATAAAACCAATTGATGTGTGATGTTGATACAGCAGTTTGCAGTCAAAGTTTAATTCTGCCAGTGCACTTTCTAAAATTTTCTGTAATGTCTAGTTCAGTTTTTTTGAATGCTGATGCTTATTTTCTGGTTCAATGCACAACGAAGACAATGAAAAGTTGTACATGATTTGATTTATTGAATTTAAATCATTAGATGTACTTACAGTTCAGGGCATTATTACAGTTAGTGAATGGCTATGTTTTTGCAATATGCTCAAAGAATATTGGGTTAAGTTTAGTAACAGCATAACATAGCAATCCTTGTGTCAGATTGAGTTTCTATAGTTTTAGATTGTTCAGCTTTAATGTTAGGTTTGAACAGTTCTTGTTATTTATAGTTTTTGAACGAAATCTCATTCCACTGTCAAAATAGAAGGTTCATTGGACTTGATACCAAAAATAGTCACTTGAAAACATCACAGATGAATTATAAGGTTTACAAAACTCCAGTCTTTAACTGAATATCCTATTTCACCGTATTTAAATACAGCATCTTTGAACCTGATCATTATGTTATTGAAGTTGATTTTATAGGAAGGCTAATCCATTTCCTTTGAGGCCTGGGCGAGAGAAAAATAATGGACTCAGGCAGAAGGGTCT